AAAAGATTGATCGAAATCGGTTTGAATATGGGAACAGACTCCTAGAAGACGTGAGGTTCGAAGAAGACGTGACAAATTTCTTGCGAATGTCCAATGAAGATTTTGAACATTTAATTACATTGATAGAGCCTGCCGTGAAAAAACGCGATACCTACATGCGAAGTGCTATTACGACCAAGGAAAGATTAGCTGTTACTCTGAGATTCTTATATTCTGAGATTCTTTAATTCTTATACTCTGAGATAGTAATCTGAGATTCTTGATTACTATAGCCTCGACCTTTCACGTCGGTAAGACCCCAACAGAGACGTAAATCTTCTTTTTCAGATCTTTCACCGGAACATTCATTGACTGCGATATTTCGCGCCACAAGTCTTCTCTCTTAAACTTATTATAATACTCTCGGTGTTTAGACTCCCAAAACAAACGTTTACTTTCGTAACACTTCACTAATCTCTTATTCTATCATGAGTATCCATGATGACAGTTTCGCGTGGAATGGTTTGCAGAGAACAGTCTGGTACGGTGCGAGGCAGACAGTGCAGGTATCCACTTAACGCACAGCTCGGGGTGAGGCACCTTTGAGCACTGCTCTGAGACCGACAAGTACACGGCTCACCTCACATTGTGCGACGCGAGCGCCGCACAGGTGCTCGCAGTGAGCAACCCCGGTATCCACAGTCCGAGGCAAAGCCGAGCATTCGCAACGAGGCATTCGCAGCGAGCTGCCTCGCACTGTGGATACCGGCCTTAATCCAACCCAGAATTTAGGTGTACTTTCGGTAGGCGACCCGGATGCACGGAAAAACTTGGCAGGTAAATCGACAAAATATAACAAGTTACTGTAAAATATCTAGATTAGTTTCCATTACAATCATTTCTTCAAAAAATTCAAATTATTATACTGTTGTTATACAAATTAGAAAAACGAATTCAACGGGAAAACTGTGCAGGACAAAAGATATACCGAAACGATCCAATATTACTGTTCTGTAGTAGGTTTTGCCAGATATAATTTGCCAGCTTCAGTCAAATTAGCAGCTGTAGTTAGAGTGGCCACAGCTGATTTGCACACACGTGAGCAGCTGTATTTGTAGCACGTGAGTAAACATTATCAAACGGCCAATAAGCTATTCGACCTTTAATAATTAAATGATTTATCACAATTAATTGTTCATTTCAAGGGGTTTCAATCGAAACGTTTGTCAAACAAGTTATACAGTAGGCTCAAATTTAATTTTACTCTCATTTTAATAATTTTAAAATCTTCCAGAAACCCTCGGAAGACCACAACCTAAAAATGCCATTCAAGATGCAAATTTCTCAGCGAACAGTTCGGGCCATTAACAAGAGTTACACTCTTTGAGATAACGCTGAGAAATGAAGTGTCTGATGGCGTTGACGTAACACTAGCGTTACACTTGGCCGTAACGCTCTACTGCTCTACAGTCTACGGCATAGATAAGCGGCATTAAACGGCAACAAACGCGTTCTGGCCACAGAAACCAGCGTTTTGTTAACATTCTCTCATCGTGTCATCAGGTCGTTAACATCTTGATACTTGTTTACAATTCGGGCTTCACATTAGTTAACGACCGTGTTGACTTGAATGGATGGAAGGATTTAGGTAGATTTTTGATAGTTAAGATGTATTTTGGCTGAGTTGAATATATGCGGGCTTAGTCTATAAATAAATTCATCAACATACACTGGTGTTTATTTGGTAGTTTTATCAGAGTACAAATAACAATCAAAAAATAATTCGATTGTTATTGTAATACGCAATCGTTTTGTAGACGTCCCTGATATGATTTGCATTGCTGTCGATAAGGGCAGGCTGCATGTATTTAATATAAACGTGTTCAAACCCAGATCCAAAACGTTGAGGAGTATTTCGGTCGTGGACACTTTTTTTAACACAAACGATTAAGTGTGTTAAAAGAATGTAATAAGCTACACGGTTGCAAGCCGTACCAACTGCTTATCTGAGTGACTCTATTTAGTGACTACTAAATTTTGCCTTTCAATTGTTAATTCATAATTATTACAGTATTGACAAAATTCTCCACGAATATTTTCGATCCAGACATTTTCGTATTACAAATACACAGAAACCATTATACAAATTTGGTATACATTTTCAATCAGAATGTATCCATCTAAAAAGTACCACATCTAATACGCGATCAATTAATATCATTCGTTCTTGCCCAACACCCAAGGCGACATCGTAGTTGAGTATATTCAGTAATCGTTCATACACGACGTACACGACACGCCTACTACTTGTGGCTTCGTCGTGATTGGTTGTGTGACGAAGACGTTGACTAAGCACCAATGTTTCCGCCGGATATAACCTGTCAAATTGTTGACTCGTCTTGCCCTCATTACCAAATACAATGGGTTTACAATATCACATTCAACTGTGGTCATTGATAATACTGTGAAACCACCAACACTGAGGAGTAATTAGTCCCCATGCTTTGTCAGCCCTTGTTGCTGAGTTTAAACTGTAATTTAATGTTTTATATATTCACAGCATCAATATGTGTTAAAGGACCTGCGTTGAATTGTAGTGCGGCTTTACAGTAATTGACACAATGGGTATGACGATAGAGTTAAAATAGGCAAAGTTGTAATAAAGTTTCGGTTTAAGATTTCACGAGACCTAAAATGTATTATATAATATAGCCAACGAGATGACACAACTGAATTAGTTGGGCGATGATTTCCTCGAAAAACACATGTTAACCGTTCAAATACAATAAAACATTTTTTTCGCGGTTGTAGCCGTATAATGTATTAAATTTGTCTCGAGTTTTTCACTTTTTAAAACTAAACCCCCAACTATCCTTCCCCCTTCTGAATCCTCACCTTATTACTAATATAATATTTTTCAATCTTCAGCAATAAATGAAACAATACTGCGATTTTAGAAGGTAAACCCCCAAACCATTTCCCCGTCGAATAACCTTCCAATGAGCCCACATTCAAAGGAGAAATGTTCCTGTGAGAATATTTTCGAGTGGTTTTAAAAAGATGATACTCTAATTGGAGGACCGGAGTGACCTTGGGGGAGGCTCAAAATATTCGGTAATGACCCACGGAGGGAATTGGTGCCGCGGCGCGTCGTCAAAGGGGCCGTGAATCGTCCAAAATATAATGGCCTCCCCTAGCCTACTTGGATAGCGACGTGAGGGCGAGTATAGCCTAAAGAAAGTGTCCATTGATAATAGAACAATTGAGAACAAGGTTGAAAACAAATAATGATAGAGTTACTTGTTATATAAGTTCTAAAATAGAAAAGTATTTTATAAAATTAATAGCAATATCAAGACAGAAATGAATGTTATTTTAAAAACTAACGATTTATTTGGGATGTTTTAAAATTTTGGTTTTTAATATTATTATTTATTATACACTCACAGGATATAATTTTGTCTCAAACGTTGAACTTTAAAGTTCAATACGACTTCTTGATATATGACACGATATCAGAATCAAGGCTACTCGATTAGCCGTAATTTAAGCGATTTAATTGTAAATTATTTCATGTCAACCTTTAGTACTTTCGGAGACACATTCTCTTTTCTCGAACCATCACCCTCAAGAAGAAAAATATTAATTTTGAAAAGCTTTTGTTTATTTCCCACAACAAGTGCCCTAAAAGCAACGCCCAGCGATGTCGATTGACTTGAGAAAATCGGGAAAATCAACTTTGCTGCTCCCTTTTTCGTCCAATGCGTCAATTTATTGTTGACGCGATTAATCACAATTTACCAGGGACTGTCGCAGCTCCACGCTGAAAACTGTAGAAACCTACAACTTTTGTGTGACGTGTTTGGTAATAGCGTGATTAATTTGCGTTTCCGACAAACTTTACTAGATTTTTTTTAACAAAAATGTCTAATTCTAGGTAAGAATCTACTACTACTAACGTTTTAACCAGAGGTCAAAGTGCATTTAGTTGATTAATTTATTTTATGAAAGAGAGGGAATTTACGAACACAATCACTTATCAGCTGTTTTGTGAACTAGATAACTGTAAATAAGAACCACCTGTCAGCTGACTCTGTGACGTCACTTATTCGTGTTCCTCAGTAGGGGTTGCAGTAGGCCTGATGTCCGGTTTTGATAGCACCACGCGTGCGTACGCAACAATACGTAAATACTACTGAATTAAACGTGAAATGTTAATTTTTTGCGTGTCTATTTGTAAATACTGTATTCAACAAATATCGCACGAAGTGGTAATTAAAGGTTTTAATCTATAATTATTGTACATTAAGGGTGTCAAGGTTGTTCAATTTGGGACAAAAATATATTTTCATACAGTTTTGTATTACAAATTGTCAGGCAAAGGCAAAGAGTGTGGTCGATTTCCCTTTAATTCTACATGGCATTTCTTTCCGGAAGAAGGCTTAGCACAATTACTAAAAATGAAATTGGCAGCAGTTACACTGACTGGAGAAAGGATAAAACTATCTGACGAACTGACAACTGCTGGCACGATAGAACTGTCACACACAGGTTAAATAGAAGTACAGAGTTAGTCAATGCACAATTTCTCTTATACAGACTGAAACGTAGACACACTTCAATAAAAAACACAACTCATTGTACCTTACAGAGTAACTTAACCTAGCGATTATTACCATCTTATCTGACGAATGACTTAAAATAACCGTTTTAATAAGGATTAAGTGCAAGTGGTTAACCTACGTTTAGGGTAACTGCAGACAGTATGACAAACTCAAAATAAAAACATAATTCCGTTAACTTATGCTGAGGTAAACCCCAAACCAAATAAAAAAGAACATATATCAACTACATATTTTTGACAAATCTCCTTAAGTGTTAATGTTCCACTGAAATCTGGGCAGCGAAAACTAATTCAATTGAGTTGTTGCAATAACTCTTTTAAATTATAAAAACAAAATAAGGCATATTGTCACAGACAAATCTGCGACTTTTGACAAGAAAATCAAAACACTACTCACTCAACGAAACAGCCAGAACACAGGGTTTTGTGACACTCACCTGCGAACAGAAATACATTGTTACAAAACAATTCAAATATGACACTATAATGATAGTAAGCAAGTAAGCTATGAAACATGTTTATATTCTGAGTACAATTTTAGGAAAATGTGCAGAAAGTTCGTGAAAAGTCGTGCGATATACGATCAATTTTATAAAACTATGCAACGGAAGCGGAAAGAAGCGATGTCTATAAATGACCAAGATAAAGCAATAAATAATAGTAAGGAAAGAATAGGAAACAACACAGAACTTTTGACATGTCTGCAACAAATAAGCAGCAACATTTACCATGTATTCAAAAAATTAGATTAGAAAGGCAGATTTTTTGTATTCCAAAGTTTCAAACAAAGGAGTCGAAATTATAATTTTTAGGGAACCCCCCCCAAAAAAAATGAAATTTCCGATCAAGTTAGGTTACCGAACTTATATAGATTATAAGTTGGGTTACGACATATATCAAATTTTAAACATGAGGTTCTTTTGTGCGTGGTGTCTCACACTAACAGCAAGACAACAATTTGAAGTAGTTTTGAATTCAAGAGACGAAAACTACATAGATTCTGAAATACTGCAGGTCTTGCCATGAAGATCTAAGGACACGTCAACAGAAGATTACATGCTTCAAAACACAACATAGAGATTAATTACAGCACAAAAAGTTATAAGTGCTTAAAAAAACATATCTATGGTAACTAGCCATCTTCATTCCTTGTCTGGGCTTTTACCGAAACCTGCTAACAAAATTGAATTTTATACAGTTCTTTGCCTACCAGAAGTTTCAGTACCAGATTGCGAAGTTAGTTTTATCACGTTAATTTTCCCAATCCCTAAACCTGTTTCAGTTGGTTTCAATTGCACCAAGGACGTTCCAACGACCCTTGGTATCGGGGCCGCTAAATGCTGTTTAAATATTGTAAAAATTGTGTTTTACACACCTGATAACAATATCGAAGTGCCAATACTGCAAATTACTGCATACATAGATAACGGCAACTGATGCGTTCGTTTGTATCATTGTATTGTGTCTGAGTTGTAATGCAATGTACTGCCTCCAGCGATATTATTATATTGAATCGTAGTTGTTGCAATCTATAATGAATAATGACTGGCTTAAAATACTTTCGTAATTCCGTAGGTGCAGTGTAATATTTCAACCCCAGAATTGTGGCTACAGAAGTTAATCGAAGTCAAACCAGATGCAAATACCAGAATCCAAACCTAGTTTAAGACAAACCAAGTACAATAATATCTATATAGTAAATTAAACACATGGTTACCATAAGGTGTATGGTGTATATTCCGGCAGCATCAACAACGGTGTATGTGCCGGATCCGTGCAATGCTTTAATACAAAATTGTCTGTTTATTAAAGCTCTACACGATGGCTGCAATGAAAATTACAAATTTGAAAAACTAAAATACCCCCGCCGCAGCAAACCTGCAGACTTAGCGAATATCCATTTGCCTGATTGGATTTACACTCAAATGTCTCCTTAAAATTATCACATTAATTCTCTATTTAAAAATAATTAGTTTAACGAGTACTTAGGTTTGCTGCAATAGGGAAGATAAAAAGTGTTTTTGTTGTAAAATGTTAATACTGTAGCTTAGTAAGAAATAAATTTATTTTCCAAATTTGATCAAAATATGTTCATAAACAAGCAAACTACAACAGTTGATGTATTCTCCATAAGAATAACATGGGAATATTTAAATTTACAACTTTTTTGAATTTTCTCCGTAACAATTAGCCGCATAATAACACTTCAATATACTAAATTATTTGTTTATTTAAGCTCTACAAAATGGTTTGAAAAGAAATTGTGAAATCTTTTGTTTTTAGGGTCAAAAATGGAAAAAACCTATTTTTACCCCATAAAACCCCCCATAAACCCCCGTTCCCATAGTCCGATCATGTTGATTCGCGAACTCGTTCGGATAAATGTAGGTTTACACGTTTTTACCAAATTTCATCAAAATCGGATCATTTTTGCTCGAGTTATCGTGCTAACGGACACTATGGATGGTGTTTTTGGCCTCTAGGGACTTTAAAACGAAAAAGTAAATGGTCCTGGGTCCAGGTCTTACCATGAGTAGGCTACTACGGTAATAGCTTATTCCCTATATGGACAATTCGCTAAAAGGATGTTTAGCCTCATAACACATACAAACCCGTTCCCTTGTCCCTATAAGGAAATTCGCTGAATAATGCGTAAACATTTAGATATTTTTGAGAGGTTTGCCCAGTAGGTCTATTCGGGCTTATAAAAGTATTAAAATATAAAATAAGTTACTCTGATATTGTAAGCCAACTAACGGTGTCCCTCGGATGACAAATCGACTAAACATCACAACTATCACAATGCTCACTGGTACATTATTTATTCCTCTGACGTCATGCTGTAGCACTTGCGTAGGTTGGCGGTTAGCTGCGGCTGCATGTTTCAACCTGTCCGTGACTCATACTGTAGCCTAGCCTCTCTCCATCTACCTCACCTGTACGTTCTTGTCTTCTCTTCTACGATTGACTTGAAGTCCGCGGACCAGAGATCAGATGTTGGCTACTACAACGTAAATAAACAGCACGTCAACAGGATACGGAGTCTGAGAAATTGCAATGTTCTACAGGAAATATTGCGTACCGGTACATTTTCACTTAAGCGTTTTAATGTTAAACTAATTTTCAGTGCAATTGCGTGTGTTACATAAGGTCATTATTTAAAAATAAAAAAAACGTGTACTATACGTTTCGCGGAACCATGAATAGGTAATTAAAACAACTGTTTTGAAAATATGAGGTTATGGTTATTTTTACCTAATTGCTGAATAATCTGAAAAACAAAACATAATAACTACTGTATTGTAATAAAAAATCCACTAGTTTACTGTAAAATCTTTAGGACAAACGACAATACTGTTACAACATAGGCATTAAACTTTTCAATCCATAAATAGTTATTGCACGATATTTCAACATTATTGATGGAGGATATACTTTGTTGACTAGACAAAGAAGCTTGAAAACGCCATCTAGCATGCAACTGTGTGCTACACCAATCACAGTTTAACATGACTACTATTTCTATTTTGTGTTATGACCAAATGAAATCACAGTTTAATTGCCTAGAGAAGATCGGAGAAATCGCAGTAAAAATTGCCGACACACTAAAATAGCAATAGTAATTGGCATTAAGCTTTTGTACGACTTACCTAAACAGCAAAACACAAGTTAAGGTGACAACAAGCTTCGAGATAATTCTCTACACTCTTACACATTCGACCACAACTCAAGTAGTACTACGTCACACGCCGACAGACGGACTCATTCACATACATGTTTACCACAGTGTTGCCAACACAAACACACCCGTTGCCAACTAGTGAAACGAAATTCCCGCGCTAGCGACAATATTTGACGGCGTCAATATCTAACCAAAACAGATTTGTTTTCCCGAGGGGATCAAAATATTGGTCCGGCCCGCCCCGGTCTCCGGTATATCTGCTCAAACTAAACATTTTCTGTAAACCGACCTACTTAAATGCGGCCTGGCCAATATCAGGGCCAATCGATGTTGAAACCCTACACACCTTATTTATTCATTTGCCGGCGACGTGTTCAGTACTGCGTATACGCATTTACATCTGTAGCAGAGTGAAAGTAGAATCTTGATAGCTAGAGAGTGCACTCTCTATCGAGATTTGTGTTTTAAAAATGTCTTTATGAACTGATCAAACGATCTAAAAAAAATTAACGTTTAACTTTCTTCTCATATAGTGGAGGCGTGGAGAAAGTTTTATTTTCGTCAACATTTTCGAATTTGAGTTTTAGGTGGAAATATCCGTTTTGGGTTCCCTGAACCCAGAAGGTTCTTTTCGTAGCGATGTCTGTGTGTGTGTGTGTGTCTATGTGTATAGAGCTACATCACACATTTGTTGTTCTATGTAGAAGAAATTAGGTATGTGAATCCACCATCTTGGTAGTTTATTGTAAAATACCGATATTTTGCAAAATTGTTGCAAAAACTGCCACAATTTCAATCACTAATAACACATGACATGCATCATATGACCCGTGATCTAAGAAGATGTTGCCAAACCATTGCTCATTCAGCAAGAGATAAAAAGATCCGCGACAAACGATATCTATATACGTGCAGCGATCGCCAGCCAGAATGGCGGCAAGGAAGGCTGCATGATGCATCAGCAGTAGAGCCAGTTCTATTCCCGTGTAGCCTATCGCCGCAGGTGGCTAACTGACATGTAGCCTTCACCGCGACAGGTACACTTTTACTGCACTACCACTACCAAGATTTAATTAGCACTCGACCACTTTCTACGGTCACGTCTGGATAATTTTAGTATACGAAATAATAAATCGAACTATTCACATGAATAAATTTAGTGAATTAAATGGGCCAGTAATGTACTGTAATGAGTAAATTCGAAAAAAAATATTTACCCAGAAGGAAACTAGGCCTACTGCATTTAGTGCAATAAATCACATTCAAAGATAATATTGTCCCCGCCACAGCAAACCTGCATAGAAGAAAACGAACATCAATTGTTTCGTCTCCAAATTTGATTTTTCAGAATATTTTATTCTAAATCAAATTCATATGTACAGCCTCAGCCTGGTCGTATTTATATTATAAGACTACGAATATATTATAAGGCTACGAATTTTGTTTGGTCAAAACTATTTGTTAAAATGGCCCTTATGTTGAGTTGTCAATACAGAGTGTGAGATCGACAGGCCGATTTTAAAGGACTTTCTCTATTTCGGTGCTACTTACTTTATAGTTGCTGTGGCAACCGATATTCTCGTTAAATAAAACAAGAACACATCTTATGTGCCTCATTGTGTAATTTTTGCAGCTGTCGTAGGGAACACTTATTATAGGTATAACTTATTTTATAGCCTATGTTGTACGTGTATGTTGTATTATGTATGCTCCATGACAAATTTCTTGTACATTGGATGTGCTCTATGTATGCCG